TTATTTGTTTTATGGGTGGGTGGGTGGCTAATAATTAGAATTAATCAAAGGAATGGACTAATTTTTGTTTATGATTAATTTTGTATTTTTTATAAACAATGTGGGAAATTATGATGGCACATCTCTCCCGCCTTTTATTTTCTCACTTACAAAGGTTGACCAAATGAGCACCCCACTTGCAACTATTCTTCCCACTTCATAAATTCCTATATTAATTTTGACCGTATGATATTCAAAAGAATATATTTTTGCCATATTTTCTCACAAACGTGGTTTGAATATAAATATTATTTTCAATAGAAAATTTCCGATCAAAACAGAGATTAATCTTTAAACGTATATGCTGTAATAATTACACTTCGTTATTCCTTTCAATCCTATAAAAAAGTGTAATCTACAAGCATATAAAATTTGAGTGTTAGAAATGTTAGATTCTTTCAAACTTTTGATTTGTCGGCAGCTAGGAACTACGAGTGGCACCTGGTTGTGAACTTTAATACTCGGATTGTTTTTTTTGTTTAACCACTTAATACCCGGATTCTTATCTCCGTAAATTCACTTATACTCCTTCCGTTTTATTTTACTTGTCATTTTAATTTTGTGCACACAGATTAAAAAAATATTTAATTTTACATATTTTAAAATAAAAACACAATTACCTATACAACTAACCATATTTTAATCAATAGAAAAAATAGAAAACATATAAAAATAATAAATTATATATCAAAACTATAAAATAAACTTATTTTCAAACGAATTTTTTTCTCTAAAATGACAAATAATATAGAATGGAGAAAGTATTATTCTTCTGATAAAATGTTATTATTATCTGCATTTTCAATTTATTATTATTACTATTATTATTATTATTATTATTATTATTATTATTATTATTATTATTATTATTATCAATTTAGATAAGAGACCATGATTGACAAAAAAAAATAAGAGACCATGAATTCCCACTCCATGCTTTGCTTGAAGAAGGCAGATATGGGCGACATGTCAGCTTGCCTACCAATCTTCACCTCCTCACACTACACATTGGCCCTTTAATTTCCTTTAGTTTCTTCTAAATTTTTTTTTTATTATTTATTTAGTTTGGATGTTATATGGAGATCTCCACTTCTTGTTTGAACTTCGGTTCTCTTGATCAGGCCAGATTGATGGGGAGTTAATTATTCGACGATTTCTGCCCACTATTATTTACACCGTGTTTTAAAAACTAATATTATTATTTTGAACCAACAAATAGTTCATTTTTTTTAACTTAACCGACAAATAGTTCATGAAATAAAAACTCTTTCATGTGTTGGTGTGTTATATGATCTGTTCTAAATGTTTTATCTTTACATGTTTTTTTCGTAAAGTCAGCTAGAACGCGACCGAGGCTTGGTTTAATCTACATCACCTCGTATTTTTAAAAATATTGATGAATTTTCTGAATTTGATTAAAAAGTGGACGGAATTTTGTTAATTTAATAATAATTTTTGTTGTTGTTGTTGTTGTTAATTGATAGACTTAATTAGCGACTATGATTTGTGAAAGATAACTAGTAAAAGATTACCGATGGACTTAACTAAGGAAGTTGACGTGGATCGTTTCAGAGGCGTTAGGTCGCCCATAAATCATAATGTACAAATTAGTTAACGCATGGGAGCGAAGGGGAACTGGATAAATCACAATTTTGATAATTTCGCTTGATGGTTAAATTATTTGCACCATCGCATTTCCCGTGATATCATGATATTACAAATTAATGGACTGTAATAAAAATCTATTTAAAAAATAAGTTTGCTTCTCGGTCCCCGACGGCCAGACCTGTCTCCTATGGGGAAAGGTGTGGGAAATTCATTAACACGTCGGCAGCTGTATTAAGTAAGAGTCATGATTAAACAGAGATTAATCTTTAAACGTATATGCTGTATTAATCTCAATATGTTAACACTCGGGAAAATCAAGAGTCATGATTAAAGAATCTAATATTTCTTCTCAGCAAAGACACAAAATCTAGAATTTTCAAAGGAATGACGAGAAGACGAACTAGTAGTTGGATTGACCCGATAATCTAATTTAATGTTTTAGGCGAATCTCCAACAACAACATATCATGACTATTTTTGTTTTTACCTTAATTATGTTTTCAAAAAAATTTAGACGCCATCTCTTTTTGTTTTGGGTCTGTTACAGTCATATATTCCCTCTATTTCATTTAGATACTAGGTGTTTTGCCCGCCATGCGGGCTTAAGCCTTTTATAATTATTTGTTAGTAAATATATTAATAATAAAAAATTAGTAGCATAAATTATTATTTGTGTTTTCATTTTGAATTTTTTTATTTATCTTAAAAATTATTCAATATTATCTTTTGAATTATATAAAATTAAGAATTTTAATTAATTAATATGTAATTATTTGTTTTCTGCTTTTGAATTTTTAAATATTTTATCAAAAGATAGTTTTCGGATAACAATAGAATATATATAGGAATTATCTTTTAAAAATAAAATATATTTTTAGATTTTGGATAACTCTTATTGTTATTATTTAAAATAACTTATCTAATTAAATAAATTTAAATTCATTTTTATATTTAATTAATTCATATAATTTATTTATTAAGGGTATAAACGATATTAACCGCTCTAACTTTTAACGTGGAGTTCTGTTGCGAAATATCACTTCGCAAATAATAGTATAGATATAAAATATATTTCAAGATAATAACATAATTCACAAGAATTATCTTATTTTCTAAAATATAATATATTCATATAAATTTGTTTTGTGTATAAATAATTATATATAAATATCGAAATATGATAAATAAACAAAATTACCTAAACTTATGGAGAACATGACAACTAAGCAAATTTACTTCTTAGATAATAGTATAGATATGTTTAAAAACTAATTTATTTAAAAAGATACATCTTTTTTTGTATTTTCAATGAACTTTCGTAAATTAATATTAACTAATTATAAATTTAAGAACATTAATTACATTTACTGAAGTCTTATTGGTTTATATGGAAAATAGATCATTTCAAAATTATGTATCTAATACTAAAGTTTAGTATGTTTTATTAATCTGTGTAAACAAATAAATATGTATTATTTTAAAACAAATGGAGTATAATAATCACATTGTAGGATTATATAGCGAAAGAAAAAGAAACAGAAAAGAGCGAATTTGTCGTCTTTTCATTTTTTATTTGATAAATTGTAAAGAGATAATTATTCACACTATTTCTTTACAATTTATATGGTTTCGAAACAAGATTAAAAACTTCAGGTCTCTGGACTGAAGTAAAAACATTCAGACCGGACTCACAGACCTCAATCACGTCAAATCTATGATACTTTGTGGTTAATGGTCACCGGCTGTATGGAGAAGGATCGTGTTAAGTGAGGTTCGGTTAGCCATGTCGTGGTTGGAAGTGCCTAGGAGGGGCGTGGTGAGCCCTTTTAATGTCCAACGCTGAATTTAAATTAGAGTTCGAAGGAGTCAGTGGAACAAAACGCACGTACGGAAAAGGTCCAATCTATAAAAATAATTATATATTAGCTAATGGGTCGGTTTGTTTCTCTCATGGTTGAGTTTGAGTTTCACCTAGGGTATTTAGTCATTCGTCTTTTGTTGTTGAGGTGTCATGGTTGGTTTTGGCTTGAGCTTAAGGTTACTGCAGGCGGATTCTGAAACCCAATCTTGAGTCATAGTGGTTTTTGAGTTAATTGTGTGGATTTTATTTAGTGAATCTTTAATATAGTGAGAGTTTCGTATCGTCTCTACCTTAAAATCACAATATTGTATTTAGTTTATTATTGCAAGTCCCTTAGTTGCTCTATCAAAAATTTTAATGGCAATGGTGTTAGGATTTTTTGTTATGTTCCTTGGGATTATGTTCTTTTTATTAGGGACAAAGTCCCACATCGGAAGTTGGAAAATATTATATTTAGTATATAAGATAGATGAGCCACTCCACTTATCACCAATTAGGGACAAAGTCCCACATCGAAAGTTGGAAAAGATTCTATCTAGTATATAAGATAGATGGGCCACTCCACTTATCACCAATTGATTTTAAGTTGGAAGCCCATCTAGCTTAACATGGTATCAAAGCCCGCGATCCATGCAGTCCAACCTGATCCTTATCGATCCAGACCAAAGTCGGCCCATCGATCCTTGCCCGAACATTCCGAGATTGACGCAAAGGAGCCATCATCTTGAGGGGGCGTATTAGGGACAAAGTCCCACATCGGAAGTTGGAAAATATTCTATCTTATATATAAGATAGAAGGGCCACTCCACTTATCACCAATTGGTTTTAAGTTGAAAGCCCATATTCATTAGATTTTTTTAAAATAATGTATAACTGATAAGATTGACGAATGTAACAGAAAATATTCTAATTTAAATTTTTAATATTTTTGAGTAAATAATAATTCACAAAAATGTTTATCTATCTTTAATGATTAACTTTAATACATTATGATATATATTAATATGTGTACACCAGATATACTGTTAATATATAAAGGAATGGACTTTTAATATTTTAACAAATAGTTTTACAAAACAATTGAGAAGTTACTTTAATTTTTTGATTAAAAAAATACAATGTTTTAGGCGGAAAATTCATTTGAAGAAGAGACTAAGATATGTGAATTTTGTTTTTTGAAAAATATTTTATATCTCATGGCAGTCTATGATTGTAAACTTGTTAGGGAGAGTAACTACATGTTAGCTAGCTATCTAACTTTTTTTTTTTGATCAAACAACTTCCATTGAAACTTAACTTAGTTCCACTCCATATGAGGAGGATACAACAAGGCTACAAGGAGCCAAGCAAGCAAAGCGTAGTCCAATACACTGGACAAACAAAAGAGAAAGCTAAAACAACAGATACTCAAATAAAAGCTTAAAGATAGAGGTGATATCGCACGCTCAATCACCGTTGTCTCCGATACTGGGCGGTCACACAAGAAGACATCTTCAGTTTGACATTCTTGAACGAAACAGTAAAGGGGAGGGATGAAAACCTTCATGGTCGAAGAGGTCAGACAGATCACACCATCTAAACGAGAAACGATAAATTAATATCTTCGCTTCTGCTTGGAACAGAACCATGTTCAAAACAAAGCTCCCTGTAACAATTTCACTGATAACAAGTGATAGTAATGAGAGGAAAAAACACTCCTTAAAGGAGAAAGGAAGGCAATTAAAGCCCAAACACACCGGATTTGTTGGGAGGGTACATAACTTAAGACCTTTCAATCCAAGCTGCCACAAGAGGAGAGAATGCCCTATCATTGCCAAAGCCATTGCGGCAAAGGTGGAAGGGATATTAGAACCAACATCAACAACCGGCATATAGCCCGTAAGGGGACTGCATACTGCAGAGGATCTCACCAATGCGATATAAATACTACTCAAGGTCATAAGAGTAGAGCCATATAACATTAAACACATCGGTATACCACCATCAAGAGTTATGAATCGCAAACTCAATGTCAACAACACAACTTAGCTGCCTAAACCATTCAACATACATGAAAATTAGAGAGCTATCTAACTTTATTTTAAATGAAGAATTCGTGCATTAAGAGATTTTTCATTGGCAGGTTCATAACAAGTATCTCTACAAAGTCTCTGCGAGAACTTATCGAGATAGTATATTGCGACATATCTTTTTCTCCAACATCAATATTTTCTAATGAAAAATTATTTAAATATTGTTTCCTTGTTGGTTAAATCTCTAAATTAGTATATTTACTGATAAGGTTGCTTTGAGGATTTGATTGGTATTAGTGGGAGTAATATGGAATAAAATCAAAAGGTGAAAAATAACTGAATGAAAAAAAAGGAAAATGAATTATTATTTACTCAAAAAAGAAGATTCCACTTGATTGATATTTTTCAGTGAAATTTGGAGTAAAAACTGTTTGGAGTAAACATTTACTCTACAATGACTATAAAATCACATCCTAAGTTATAGATAGCATGATAATGAGGTATATTAAATTCCCAATATAGATGTCTATTGACTTCTGAAAAGGGTGGAGGAATTTAACTAATAAATTAATCTGAAAAATATGGCAGAATAAAGTCAAAAAGGTTAAGGATGTCATATTATACAATACAGTCTTGGTACTAACAATCTATATTATAATGATACAGTTTAAAGACTCCTTAAGGTGTCCACATAGGCAGATTGTGGGTCCCACATTTTTATATTAAAATAGATAGTTTTTTTAAAATGGCTACAAACAAAGAATATCAGTTTAGCCAAGTGGTCTAAGACCCCATGTTTGATCTGCAAGGACATGGGTTCAATTCCTACTGCTCTCAAGCTTTTATACCAATTAATGTCATAATCATAAAAATATTTTTTAAACACACATAGTCTTGGTAAGATGGTCACAAAAAATGAAATACACTTTAGCCAAGTGGTATAAGGTGTCTAATTAAGTATGCAAGATTGTGGGTTCAAACCACGTAGCTATCATGTATTTTTGATTTTTTTATTTAGGTTATTATCATATGGGCTTTTTGTTTATAAAGTTCTTATGTTTTTTTTGGGCTTAGTGTTCTAAAGATCAAAATAGTTGTATAAACCCTAAACCTTAACAAGTTCAAACCCAAAATAGTTAAAAATGAATCCAAAACGAATAATAAAACAAAAAACAAAAAAAACAAGTCTCACGTGGTTGCCTACGCGGATGGCTTAAAGAACCTTAAAACTATCCTATTATAATATAGCCAAAAATAATAAAAAATAAATCCAAAAACGAGCAGACAAAAAAAAACAGAACAAAAAGTGAATTCCATGCGGGTGCATACGTGGATGGCTTAATGAGGGTTGAATAATATAGATTAGGAACTCAAAAAGTTAAATCATTGCACATATTTCCTAATATATATTTTCAAAAATTTGTATGTGAGATAAAATAAAATAAAACAGCAAAATTAATTATTTTCGTTATTTATTAAATGAATATATAATTTCCTTGAAAACATTCCTTACCACCGATTTTAGACTCCGGCAAATGGATTTCCACAGTCGATGACGCCGTAGATAAAAATGCCACATCATTTATGAACAAAACTCAAACTTACAAAAAACCATATATAAAAGCCTATATAATGAAACTTAAACAACGAATACTAACTTAATTAAGGTTATTTTCAAATTGATAAATCGTTTAATACAAATATAAATACTATAAATATAGAATTATGTCAAGTTTTGATCTACGATATAAAAACTATTTAGAGCAAAAAAAAAACACACCTACTTTTACACACTAAAAAAATATTATAGCCTAACTATTCCTATAAACCTTACTTCGCATATAAATAACATTTAACACATTCCTAATATTTTTCAAAAAAAATTGTATGTGAAATAAAATAAAATAAACAACAAAATTTAAGTAAGTTATTTATTAAATGAATATGTAATTTCTCTTACATTTTAATAACTACTATAATTTCATTGAAAACATTTCTCANTTAATTAAGGTTATTTTCATATTGATAAATCGTTTTATACAAATATAAATACTATAAATATATAATTATATCAAGTTTTAACATACGATATAAAACATGAAATTTGTCATTTCATTATTAATTGGTGTCATTAGAAAAATTCACTAAACCAACAATCGAAAAAAATACACGCAAACATAATGATCCTGGCCCCGCGCTTGCGCGGGGAATATGCAACTAGTATTTATATAAACACAGTTTGTAGTATATGGTCGGGTGGGTCTAGATGATTGGAAGACAATAAAGAAAAATATGTTTGGACTAATCAAGACCTCATCAACAGCCACATCATTAAAAACTCATTATATACATTTGTTGATAACAAAAAGTATTAATAACAAAATCTGAATAAAAGATGGATAAAAGGGGGAGAACATAAAGCGGAGGTCTTCATGTCAAATACTTACCATACTTTTAGTGGCTCAAACTCTTTTATATAGTCAATTGAATACTCCCTTCGTTTCATAATAAGTGTCGTTGTAGAGAATTTTTTGCGTTACAAAATAAGTGTCATTTTCAGTTTTCAATGCAAAATTTATTAATTTTATCATATAATTTGTTTTTCTATTGACTAAAATATGGTTAGGTGTATGGATAAATGTATTTTTATATAGGAGATATGTAAAATTAATTGTTTCCTTAATCTGTGTGCATAGCTGTAGAGTGACACTTATAATAAAACAGAGGGAGTATTAAATTATAAAAGTAATAGAATATACTGCTTAGGTTTTTTTTTTTCATTATTACTCTAATGTAATATAATCCATCTGTTTTTTTTTCAATGAAGCAACTCAAGAACTCGTAATTAGTTACTTTTATTTACCCTTATTATTTTCATAATAATGAATGATATATTTTCAGAGAAGACTTTTAACTCAATAATGATAAGTCTTTTTATGGACCCAAGATCTCGATGTTATTGACAGATTATTTGCTTATATTTCTATTAGTCATCCAGTCCCTTTAATTTATGAACTGATGTGGTTATTTTTTATTTCTAAACCCATACATGTATTTTTTTTTGGATCAGACACAAGAACCGTATGCTAAAATTTATTTTTCTTATTACTATAGACCTTGGCACAAACCGGATATTTGGTAATTTTTTCATACCTATAATTTTGACTTGTCCCATATAAATATCACAAATATTAACTTATATTTGTATTTGATTAATAGAGTACTTGTTAACAAAGTACTCATTTAATATTGAAATATTTATAAATGATTTAGTTAGACTTGTTACTTGTTGTTTATGTTCAAAATCTTAAAAATCAAATAAATCAATAACTTCAATTCTTTAAAAAAAAATACATAGTAAGATTGTTTTTAGCCAAAAAAAAATTCATAGGAAACTCTATAAGACCTTTAATATTATAATCACCACAGTAATTTTTGGAATAAAATGTTTAATATCACTTTAATATTTAAGAAAATATGTTTCTAGTTTTATATAAATAATCATTTACTCAAATAATCATTAGTAAACCATTAATAATTCTTAGTTTAATATTAAGAAAACAAGTAACAAGTAATTAAAAAAATAAGATTTGATATTTGGTTAGTATTTACAAATTGTTATTCTGAAATATTTGTTATCTGTCTTGATCCTTGCAAGCATTTAATTTATATGCCAAGTATCGAACAACTGCCTAATATAAACTGGATATAAAGTATTTGTGTCCAACTCTAATTATTGAGACTGTAGCCGTTCATTGAAATAATCAAGATTATTTCCTTACCTTTTCCCCAATATGGTCAATTTATTGGGGAATTTGCCAAAACCAACCTAAAATTTCATTTCAACCCTAAAGGTGTATCCCTTATTGAGTCAAATGCAAAACCAACCTAAAGGGGTTATGAAGTTATTACTTAATCCTTGTGACCAAACAAAAAAACAGACAATTATTTTACGGTTCTGTCCTTTGCAAGTCTACACATAATAGAGAGAAGTCTACACATTTGTAGACCTTCTTAGAAGTCTACTTTGTAGACGTATTCTACAGTCTACATCGTCATTTGATCTTATAATTTAATTTTAAAAATGTATAAAAATAATTTTTTGGAAGTTTTTAAATAAATCATCAATATAAAGATTAGTATGAAATATATAAATTAAAATTTCATATAAGTGAAAAGTTTAATAGAATTTATATTGAATTGGTAACCATGTGAAAGATAATGTGTTATGGTTTCCCAACAAAATGGTATAACATGCTTTGTCTTTTAGGGTTAGATTCATATATTAGGGTTAGATATTTGA